TTTTTGGATGCACTCTAACTATGTTTGGATGTACTCTAAACATGTTTCGACGCACTCCAAAACATGTTTGGATGCACTCTGAAATTGTTTCGATGTACTCTAAACATGTTTGGATGCACTCTAAAAGTGTTTGAACGCACTCTAAACGTGTTTGGATGCACTCTAAGTATGTTTGAATGCACTCTAAACATGTTTCGACGCACTCTAAAAATGTTCTAATGCTCTCTAAAACTGTTTAGACGAACTCTAAACATGTTTCAACGTATTCTAAAAATGTTTTAATGCACTCTAAACATGTTTGGACGCACTCAAAACATGTTTCGACGCACTTTAAATATGCTTCTACGCACTCTAAAAATGTTTCGATTCACTCTAACCATGTTTCGACGCACTCTAAAAATGTTTTAATGGTCTCTAAACATGTTTAGACGAACTCTAAACATGTTTCAACGTACTCTAAAAATGTTTTAATGCACTCTAAACATGTTTGGACGCACTCAAAACATATTTCGACGCACTTTAAATATGCTTCTACGCACTCTAAAAATATTTCGATTCACTCTAACCATGTTTTGATGCACTCTAAAACTGTTTCTATGCAGTCTAAGTATGTTTGGATGCACTCTAAACATGTTTCGACGCACTCTAAAAATGTTTGGATGCTCCCTAAACATGTTTGCATGCACTCTAAGTATATTTTGACGCACTCTAAACATGTTTGGATGCACTCTAAATGTGTTTAAACGCACTCTAGACGTGTTTTGATGCACTCAAAACATGTTTAGACGAATTCTAAAAATGTTTCGATGCACTCTAAACGTTTTTAGATGCACTCTAACTATGTTTGGATGCACTCTTGATGAGGTCATCGAGCTGGATACAGACGAGGAACCACCCAACATGGACAAAGGAGCACTCAAAACGGCTGAGGGAAATCTTACAACCCAAGGAGAGGAGAAGCAAGAGCCTGCCTTCCCTACAATTCCTGATCCGCCATTCACACGAGAAAGGGCACGAAATCTACGTGCGAAGATCAACAAGTTCGTCATCAAGATGTTCGGAGACAATGCACGGGCTGAGGAAAACTTGGATCTGGCTAAATCAAGAAACAACAAGAGTTTACTTGTGTTTGAACTCTTGTTGGTTACCACCTGATCTGAAGACACCAATTAAGGAAAGGAGAACACATCAGCAAGAGAAGGAGCCATTAGACACACTTAAGGCAACTTCTTGGACACATCATCACGCAAACTATGGCAAGCTCGGATTTGTGGGATTGATGACACATTTCTTGCCTTTCTTCTACTAGCCGTTGCTGCCAAATCACCAGGAGATCCCCTACCTTTCCTTATTATCATTTTCGCAATGCCTAGGTGGACTAGTTACCACAATTGTTGCCTAGGTGTTAATTATCTTTCCTTTCTAGTATTTCAGCACCTTTCGAATTAAGACACAACTTTTGATCAGAAATAATACTTGGTATTTTCTTTTAGTTTCTCTCTCGAATTCTCTTGTTCCATTAGCAAGAAATCGACTTTCGTTCGTGTTCTTGACTGAGAGTAATTCTCTTTCAATTTACCGAGCATTTGTGACGATATCAAAGAGTCCATCCACCCCTCTTTGTGGTGTCACCATTCCACCTTATTCATCTTTGTTTGAAGTATAATCGAGACGCATTTGGCCTGGTTTACTTCGTCATTTATCTTAAGGAGACCTCGGTGAGACGCTTTCGAGCCTACCGAACTTCATTCGTGAACGACTATTATAGTCTTGGTCACGTGCTTGTATCAACTCTAAACATGTTTCGACGCACTCTAAACATGTTTGGATGCACTCTAAAAATGTTTCGATGCACTCTAAATATGTTTCGACGCACTCTAAAAATGTTTAAATGCTCTCTAAACATGTTTAGACGAACTCTAAACATGTTTCAACGTATTCTAAAAATGTTTTAATGCACTCTAAACGTGTTTGGATGCACTCTAAGTATGTTTGGATTCACTCTAAACATGTTTCGACGCACTCTAAATATGTTTCGACGCACTCTAAAAATATTCTAATGCTCTCTAAACATGTTTAGACGAACTCTAGACATGTTTCAACGTATTCTAAAAACGTTTTAATGCACTCTAAACATGATTGGACGCACTCAAAACATGTTTCGATGCACTTTAAATATGCTTCTACGCACTCTAAAAATGTTTCGATTCACTCTAAAAATGTTTTGATGCACTCTAAAACTGTTTGGATGCA